AGTGTTGCAATGATTGAAAAGGCATTGGTCACAGGTCACATGTTGTGTATCTCCAGTCCAGTGAGCATGCCTGCTTGTCAGATGTGTGAACACTGTGTCTGTATGTTTGCACTGCATGCCTCTGCACAGACAGGCTGCCTACAATATATCACTGACACTATACGGTTCAATCACAGGCTCTTACAAACCCTGCTCTCAGAGGCTGTGCTTACTTGAGCGAAGCACTTAAAAACACCAAAGCTGGAGGTTAATTGATGCATGGGTCACAGGCATTCAGACAGGAGTCAAGATAAAAGCCTCTGCTCACTGGAATAATAAGCAAGGTTTTTGTACTGAAGAGGCAAATACTGTTAGCCTGTGTTTAATTTGCACGATTACAATCATGGAGCTTGTTTTACTGATATTGTTGCAGAGGTCTGAAGGTACAGATTTCATATTTCGATAATTTGGCCTTTTATTGGACCCTGATATCACCTTTAAACTGAGGTATCTGAGTCTGGTGTTCTTATACAATGCAGGTTTTCCCTCTGTGCTCCCTGAAGAGAGGGAGGAACATTGTGAATCCTTGCTGTACACCATCAAGACAATTCCTGCAAAGGCATTGATCCTCTGAACAATATAGCAACATGACAGATGTGATGATCATTGCAGAATTGCTTCTCCTCGGAGAGAGCGACAGAGAGTAAGACGGAGATGAAGGAGCAACAGCCAACCAGCTATGAAACAAGAGAGAAACAGCAAGGCAGAACAAGTGGAAACATTCAGAAGTTACAGACGTTCTTTCAGATTTTTCTGGACCGCTCATGTATTAGATGATTATGGTTTGGCCGGCGCTAAAACACAACTAGAGCCTGTGTGGGCTAGGCACCGGTATTGACTGCAATGAGTCACCTTACAGCGTAAACAGCAGATCTTAGAGGCGGCTAAGGGTTTTTTGAAAGTATTCCAAAATCCACATAGACATTCATCAAGGCTACACACACGTACCAAACATAGTACACACGGTGTTTCCCACGTGGGATGCGGAGGTGCTGCGGGGGCGTGACAACATACGGTGGTACCAACCATACCTCAATGAAATGTCCTGATCATTGATGGACAGGCGGACAGTCAATGGAAAGGCAAAAACATAGTCGAACATGCCCTTTAAGGAAGGTTAAAGTTATACTTGGGAGTCGGACTCCGGCATTGATCTTGCAACTAGAGTTGGAATTATTTAAATCAACTCCATGTTTTACGATGATTTTGTATAGAATGGTGATTCATTGATTGTGCAATTGAGTTCTTCATCCCCAATTATCTATTTTACAAAGCGAAATAAACAAAAGTAGACTAGTATGTAACTATCAACCAACACTCATGTATTGACACCGGCATTTTGCAGGTAAGTGCTATGATACTAATGTCAAAGAGTTCACCTTTATCCCTGTGAAATGGCCAACATCAAGTGAGAGTTTGACCGGCATAAGAACCATAAAGGAGCAGGTGCTGCTGATGGATACTTCTGCTGCTGTAAAATGGAAAGGCCAGACTCTTTTCTGAAGAGATGCAGCACCTAAATCAAAAGCTCAGCTCACAGGGGAAAATCTTGTGCTATTACTGCAGGTAAACACATTTTTGTTTAACATCACATGAAGATAAGCATTGAGAGTTGTACTATGGGCTGCAGCCTCAACAAAGACAGGTATAACTCACTACCTTGTTTTTTGACAGTGCACGCCACCGTGACTCCTGAATGCTGCAGTGCACACTCCTATAGCATCTCCAATTCAAACACATTTCATTCCACCATTAGCCCAGATGTGATCAGAGCTCTGATGAAAAAATGAATGATTGATAAGGTGCCAGATGTTTGGTGCCCTTTACCTCTGGATCTGTCAGAACACCGAGCACAGGTTGGCCTGTGAGAGGAGACAGTGGGCTGAAAGGAAAATGATCTCATAACGCATCAGATAACATGATGTGGCCCAGGTCCAACACGAAGCTAAGATGCTGGCCTTGCACCGGGAGGAGTCCAGAAGCTGCTGAGACCCCGATTAGACTAACACAAGCTCGGAGCTCAGCGCGTGCAAAGCTCAAGTATAGTGATGCGGACTGCGGTGCATTCATTAATAGAGGAGGCTATACACATCACCCTGCCTGCATAGGCTACACGGTGGAAAATGGACGCCTAGCATCAAGCGGCCGGTAAAGAGAAAACTCAGTGGACTGGGACACAAATCGCACATTATGATACTCATCCACATAAATCACTCCTCTTTGTTCGAGCACATTTCAGCACATACAATAGATATTTTAGTCCCAACACCTGCGGTGCGGATGCAGGGAAAGCTTCAAACGGGCTATTATAAGGGTTTCATTTGCATAATAGACGTTGCTGTCGCTAATTATAGGCCCGCGGAAATAGGTGGGAAAATTATCATTCAGCATTTAATCAGTGAAGTGTCAGAAGTCTGGGAATTATTATCATTATTCTTTTCCTGTGAATACGGTTGTCTACACAGTCAGTAGTAGGCTAAGTTGCAGGCAACGTGAAACAAATCAATGTGGCGTGTAAATTACACTGAATGAACTGTGATCCATTAAGCTGCAAAGTAAAAACAACAGTGACACAGTGTAATTATAATCATTAAAAGAAGCTCGGAGAGGTCTTACCTGCAGGCTTCTTATTTCAGAGATTCGCAGCGCGTCGCACTCCCAGAGAGAACGAGATGGAGGGAAAAAATAAGATAGGGGGTGGACGGTGGATGGGCTGAATATCGGGTCTATCGAGGCAAAAAATAAATTAATAGCAAAGGGGGGATGATTAGAGTTGATGAAAATAAGAAGCACGCGAGGGACTGGATTCTCAATTCCGGATTAAATCTTTAAATCAGCCAGTGATGGAAAAGGGTTGAACATGCATTAAAAAAAGGCTAATACAAAACACGTCACTGAACACGGATTTGTCTACAGTGGATGTGGCCGCTGCTTGTGTGTACTGGGGGAGAATGCGTCTCCCCCCACCCTCCGGTTGGACGCTCGCTCCTGCCTGTCTGCTCCTCTATGTATTTCTCCCACTCTGAGCGCGACGCAAGCAACTTGTCGCATCCCTCCAAAACTCCTCAATGATGGAAATGATGCCGGGTAATGTCAGAATCGACACGAGATGAAATCTACTACAGTATGTTTCGCTACAACATCATGGCAAAGGTTCACCCCCCCCCCATCCCCCCTCCCTTTCACTCTTCTCTCTCATATTGAGGGAATTGGTCTGGATGTGCTTATTGGAGCGTGTGCCGCGCGCGCAGGGCTGTTTGTAAGTAGTAATTAGCCATGACCAGGTTATTATGCGTTATAGATGTGACATATATGTTTGTATTTATTTTTTACTAGAGAGCGACCCGATGGAGAGCCAGTGGAATACTTTTTTCTCTGTGGTAATGATGATGATGATGGTGGTGATGATGATGATGGGGGTCGCGCTGGTAGTTCTGGGAAATGCAGCACGAGCGAAGCCCTGCAGAGAGAGAGAGAGAGAGAGAGAGAGAGAGAGAGAGAGAGAGAGAGAGAGAGAGAGATGTGTTCATCATGGAGTCAAATATCTACAGGTCACTATTTATGTGTCAATATGGACTGAAGTTTAGCAGGAGCCATGTAGTAATGGACATTATTGCCTTTTTTATTTATTCTTTAGTGACATATGATGTCGCTGTTTGTAATAAAGAAAACATTATGTAATGCTCTTGTCTATGGAGGCAGAAGCTGGAGCTGCTGGTCGCACTCAGCAGTTAGGATGCTCAAAACTGAGCAGACAATGACCTTCAATAGCTTTAAAATGGCTTTGCTGCCCGGTTCACCCCTTTCTCTCTCCCTCTCTCTCTCACACTCACTCACACACACACACACACACACACACACACACACACGTACGCACGCACGCACACACACACACACACACACACACACACACACAGAGGGGAGAGCTGGAGAGAGCTAATACAGAGTGACAGGTCTTTCATGCAGTAATGGTGATGGTGAAAAGAGAGATCCACTCAACCCACAATGCCACACGCATGGAGTCAAACACAAGCATACACAGACAAACATATGAAGCAAACACACGCGCGCGCGCACACAAACACACACACACACACACACACACACACACACACACCACACACACACACACACACACACACACATTTACATCTTCACACACACACACACACACACACACTGCACACAAACACACAGCAGAGTGCTCATGCTTTTTAGTTTTATTGACATGTGGATGTTCGATGTTTGACTTCCTAATGTAACTTCCCATCACTCGTACTCTCTTTCCCGTGCTTGTATTGAAACACACTTACACAGTATTATGTACTTTCTGCATTTTTGGCATCTTGCTTTCAAATTCCATTTTATTCTGCATTATAATTCAGATAGGAATGATGTTTTTCAAATTGTATTTAGTCTCAATTTATTTTCTTCTCCCAGTGTGCATGGCTTGTTCCCTCACTTTACTCCCTTTTTGACCTTGACAAATCAGGCATTTGTTTTAATTATTAAGTAGGATATGTAAGTAACAAAAACAGGATGAACTGTTTGGCATCATGCATACAAAACCACATAGATCATCAATCACGCACAACATACACACATTCAACTCTCTGATCAATTGTTGGCCTCAGGCTGTGGTGGCTTGCCGACACTGAGGAGGGAGCCTGGTTAACACCCAGTGGTTCACCGCAGTGCAGTGTGCACTCACTTACAATTGTTCCCTCTATCACAAAGACCAGCCAGAAAAAAAAACACTCTTTATGTATCATATTATTATAAGTGCAAGCTGGGCTCACAATTTCAGTCAAAATTAGGACTTCTTTTTTAGTATTATCCTTATTATGCAAACCATTTCAAAGAAAAACTTAAAAGTTCAATCAAAAGTATATTGAAATAACGCAAAAGTATAACTTATCATTTTAGAAACAGGAAGCCAGAGAGGTGTAACAGGGTGAAATGAACCCATGTTGAAAGTTTTATTCATGTTAAGAGGAAAGTGAGTGACAGATGTCAACACTTTCAAGAAAAGTGATCTTAATCACAACTGCTATTGACTTATGTAACTCAAGATTATACAGCATCAGTTCCATTAAAGCATTGAAAAGCATTTGTTTTACCCATATTTTTTTTCTTTACAAAGATGGTTATATGAAAGAAGTCCAGGCTTTCTGCAGATCAAGCACAGCTACATCCTTTTATGTAATCATAAAGAGGAAAAACAAGATTGGGGTAGTAGAGAGGGAAAGACAAAGAGGTACAGTACAGAGATGAAAAGGAAATAACTGCTGCAGTTTGCAAATTATGCAAATGATAATCAAATGGTTTCAAAATATAAATTATGGGTGTAGAGGGAGAATCGGAGCAGCTGTCTGTTGATACAAAGGTAAAAACGGGGTCAGCAGTCCAAAGGTTAGAAAGGTGGATTTTAACAAGAATACTTCAATGCCTATTGGTTAAAAAACTTGAGCAGGGAACTTAAGCACTACTGTAACAGCAGAGGCAACAACAGAAGGCTGCAGCTTCACTGGACTTCATCTCAATATGAATTTGTGCGACTACATAAACAAAAAGAAGGGCGGTGTTGAAGAACCACATGCTTGATCAACAAAACGTCCGCAAAAAGGCGAAAATGTGACGATATCTCCTCGATCTCACTTTATATTCTCCCCCGTATGTTTGTAAGACTTTCATCTCACACATTCTGTAGGACATCAGTGTGTTTCCCTCTCTCTTTAGCATCACAGTGATAATGAAAACCAGCCGCTAAACAATGACACGGTGGTTTAATTCTCATTACAGAGATATATATTATCGACATATCCATGATGTGCCTTAAAAACAATAAACGAAATAAACTAGTCTATATTAAAACTGTTTTTGATACACAGGTCCTGCTTAGCTATCTAATATGCATCTTTGAGATACTATACAGTATTTAAGAGAAACTCGGTTTTAAAGCATCTGAAAATATTATACTAAGAAACATAAAGCATCATATGGTTAAAGTGCACAGCAAAGTAGGCTTAGACGTCCCACAAAGCCCCCACAATGTTAAAGGAAGTGCTACTCTGACCCATGTCTGATCATCTGAAACACCTGAATAATAAATGTTCCCACCTGTAAGCTAATATTGTCTTTTCTGCTTTCCGCTTCTCAAATATGATATGATCTTTGTACTGTTGGTCGAATTAAACAAGCAGCTTAAATACATTATATTAAGTAGTGGGCCATAACGATGACATTTTTCAATATTTTCTTACATTTCCTAGATAAAACATGAAATCGAGAAGATAATCAGATTGACCTAAAGAAAGAATTCTTATCAGGTGATCCTTAAAATAAACAGAGGTCAGTATATAGTTACATTAAAACATATTTTTTCAGATACTCTAGAAAGAACCTTTGGCTCACATAGCCAATGAAAACATTGGAATAAAGCAGGGGTCTCTACTTTGTCTATGTAAAAAGGACCTGCGTTTCACAAACAGTGTAATTGTCCTTTGAGCAGTGAGTGCAAATGCAATTAATACTTTCATCATGTGAGTTATCTAGATATATCAACAGCGTTAAAGCTTTTAAAAATACTTCTAACCAGTTTTTAAAGCATAACTCTTGATCCATGTGCAGTTCAAAATGGCATGTCTTGTTTCTTCTAACATTCACCAGCTTCAGTCCAACTCATTTGTGCTGCACCAACAACAAACACACAGTGGAGGTCACTGAGGAAGGAAGAGTGCCCGTAGAAGTCGTGACCTTTGCCCCCAAAGCTGATCCAAGGTCAGTGGAGAACAGTGACCAGTAGAGGGCATCAGACCACCAGGGTCGCTGGTTCCTCCTTCTCACCATGGCCTGTTGCAGTCTTCATCCAAAGCAGAATGAGTCAGACATTTTCTTGATGTGACTTGTGCCAAAGCTTCATTCATAATTTACAACAGCTATATTAATAGTCCTCATGTGCGATTTTATATACAAGAAGTTTAGAAATTTGAATCTTAAACAAATATGTAAAACATCGAGTAGATTTCTCCTTGTGATATTTCAGAACATCTTCCACTTCTGTCTGTATTATTTTTTTCTTTTACAAATATTAACAACATTCACATACAGTGTTCTCACTTCAGAAGTAATCTATTGTTAAACTAATGTTTTTAATTAACTATATTAATAATACTATTTTGACATTGTGAGTTATGAAACTGGATTGATGATGTAAGAAATTCAGAGAAGACACAAATATATTTTACCACATTTACCTTTTGGTAAAAGGTTCGTAGTCCATGTTTTCTTTTGATTTATGCATGTATAAAACTATGTGCACTCAGTCTGTGTGATCAGTGTTTTGCATTGTACATTTCCAAGTGCATACAAATTTCCTGCAGCACTGCGGTATCTTCACATTATACCGCAGCCCCTCGCTCTCCCTGCCTCTCTCTCCCTCCCCTATACCTCCTCTGTCACTCAACCTAACCTCTAAAGTCTTTCTAAGAAACACTTTTTTCCCTCTTTCTGTTATGAAAAATTGAATTACTATTTTTCCTTTTCCACTCATCCCCTGTTTATATTTTTCTCTGTCCATCACAGTGTCTGTCACATCTCCACAATCCTGTTAAATCCTTCCTTACAATCTCCATCACCTCCTTTTTCCTTGGTTTATTTGTTCCAAAGCTACATTTTATCACGTTTTATCACCTCTCCGTCCGCTTCATCTTAAATGGTCTGTGCTCCAAGCTCAGTATTTACTCTCATCCACATCTAAATGTACAGAATCAGTGATTATGAGGAGTCAGTGTCTCTCCTTCCCTCCCTAATGCTCCCGTTTCCTAACAGGGGGAGGCGCTCATGTGCATGTGTGTGTGATAGTGAGGGGGGGGGTACAGGCGATGGAGGCATGGCCATGGGGAGAGCCTGGCCTTGGGGGTGTGAGCCGTGCAACCTGGTGAGGGTGTGTGTGGAGTAGACGGCAGACTGTGGGGGCATCTGGTAGCTCCCTGCAGATGAAGACCCAGAGGGGGGGCTGCCCTGCCCGTGGTGGCCACTTTTGGGCGGTGGTGGGGGGGCCTGGTTGAGCTGGATGGAGATGTCGCTGGAGGCGTTCGAGGTGCTGCGGCCTCGCTTCGGCGGAGGCCAGGAGGATTCTGGGTGTAGGAACTGGCCGCTGTAGTCACTGCTCTCGGACAGGCGGGGGCGGTAGAGTGCAGGGTGGGGGCGGTACATCTCCTCCTCGGCGTAGCGCTTCATAAACAGATAGACTGACATCACCCCGGCCCCCTGAGATAGTGAATGAAGCAGGAACAGGTGAGGGGGGGGGGATAAGATGGGACAGCGAGAGAGGGAGTTAAAGCTGCGTAAATAAATTGAGTTCAAAGACAAATACATTTTCAAAGAAGCAGTAACAAGTGACGGCTGGGGAGATTTAAGTGACTGATAGAGGTGGGAGAAGAGGTGAACGTATGTGCTTTTAATTTAGAAAGATGAGGCTAAGCTTGAAGTTCTTTTAAGCTCATGTAAAACAGATATGAAGGGAAGGAAATGCAAAAGGAGGAGACAGATGGGGAGGAGGGGAGGAGGTTAGTGTCCACTGCACCACATTAAGAGCAGTGCTGCTGATGATGGGAAAGAGGCAGGAGGGAGCAGGGGGGGAGGGGATGTGGAAAGATGAGCAAAAGATCACACGAAAACCTCACTACACATCGATGCACGCATGCACACACACACACACACGCACACTCACCGCCCCCCCCCCCCATGATACCTCACCATATCCACAGAATACTAATCGTCTTAGCTTCTTGCACACTCAGCGTGCAATACTTAACCATGGAAATGAGAATACATTATCTGGGTGTAACATATGTATGCAAACAGACATGCACTCTCACTCTTGTTCCAATATCTATGGGACTAACACACACAAACCCACCTCTTTGAGTAGGAATGAAGAGGCAGCGAAGGCGAAGGACCAGCCGTAGTGGTAGTTGAAGAACTGCTCGGGCTCCCTGGGCCGGTTCATCACCTCGTCATTAATACTGGAGATGTAGAGCACCAGACCCACCACCAGACTGAGGCCTACACACACACACACACATTGCACATTAACAACGACAGGGAGTCAGATAGTAGCCAGCGAGGAGGTCATTATATGGCCATTCAGACAGCTGCACCAGTGTTTAAGAGAAAGAGAGAGCGATGAGATGTGGAATGACTGGCAGAGAGAGTGTGTATGTTTCATGATGACAGATAAGGAGCATAAAGATTAATGACTTGCAGAGATGAAAACACTCGAAAGATGCAAAACAACGTGAAGCTCAATAATGGTCAAAACGATAAGCGTTTATACAACACGTTTGACCTTTTGACTGCACTCTCATGTCTTCTTACTCCTGTTGTTGTTTCTTAGTGTCTGTGTATGTGTATGGGGAAAGAATCTGTATAATTGTCTTGGCTTTCTTCCTCCCCTGCAGCAACCCTGTCTCATGCAAAATTACATTTCAACACTGCTGATTTGTTTAGCCAAAATGTGTTCTGAGGGAAACATAATTACCTCTGCCAGGGAGGTTATGTTTTGGTTCAGTTTGGTTTGTCTGTTTGTTAACTTGATAGGATTCAAGAAACACCACTGGCCTGCTTTTCATGGAACTTGGTGAAAGGGTGTAGCATAAGCCAAGAAAACACATTACATTTTGCAGAAGATTCTGATCACAGACGAGATGGAAGAATTATTATGTTTAACATTGGGAGGTCTGCATCCTCCATATTATGTTTGGCACATTTTTCCTACGAGTGTAGGAAGTGGTTTGGTGTGTGTTTAAGTTTAAGAACTTTCAGAGTTTTTAGAGAAAGACATTGTGTATGGTTAATTGTTAATAAACTGTCCCGTGCTTCAAGTCCCTCTTGAAATCATCAATATGTAACCAGAATCTTTACTGAACCTTTACTATGTGCCTTTAGTGCTTTAAATACAACCTCAAATGTGGCAATAAAAGTAAACTTGGTAGCCTAGATATAAAAAAACATTTGGCGATAGGCAGGTAAACTATTTTAACAAAAAATTGTCGGCAAACCACAAATACATTAATGTAAGTATTATAATCCCAGCCAGTTCCTTTTGGGGTAAAAAGACAATTATAAAAAAAAAATAGTGATCCACCACAACCTAATTCAGATAAATTTACTAAACATATGCCAAGAGAAAAGTACCTTTAATTTACCTGACATATTGTAATGACATATTTTAACTACCTAAGGACATAACTACCTGTTTACTGTACATTTATATTTTTTAGAAAAAACATTAAAAGGAGAGAAAAAAGGACTTCATGTAGCACTGTAAACTAACTGTAAAAAAACATCATATGCAAAACTGGGCTTTCAATGACCCTTTTCACCCGAAGCATCACATGCAACATTAAAACCTCATCCTCCAAGAACACTCTCCACTTTGCCTCAGAAATGTTAAATGCATGAGATACAACATATGGCCAACATCGAAGAATCAATATTCAAAGAAAGCTGCATTCTGTAAACAGCATATACGAGTATTTTTAGCTTTCGCTGCAAAATTCAAATGTTTCACCGGGCTGTCAAGCATTTATGTCCTTCGCAATAAACTAGTCATTGCGAAGGACATAAATGCTACTTTAAGAGGCTGTGTTGTCGAGAAAATGCAGAAACCATGCTGCTGTCAATCCTGCAGTTGAAGTACATCTTAATCTAAATAAGTAACTCCTGAGAATTGAAGGAAACACGCATTCATGTGCACAGTGAGAGCAGAAGAGTGAGGTGAGAGGCTGTGTGTGTGTGTGTGTGTGTGTGTGTGTGTGTGTGTGTGTGTGTGTGTGTGTGTGTGTGTGTGTGTGTGTGTGTGTGTGTGTGTGTGTGTGTGTGTGTGTGACAGAAAAGGGAAGAAATAGGGTTTCTTTGCTCTAAATTCTGTAATATTATCCAGACTAGGACCAACATAAAGTACACTATTTACCAAACCACTGTGTTCATGATGCCAACAAAAACCAGGCTCACAATACTCAGTAGTTCAAAAACCACACACAACATTCTAGAATATACTGTGAATGATAGAGAGAGTAGGAAATGAGGAAGAGGAGTGAATGAGAGAGAAAAACTGAGAGGCTTGGTGAGCAAGAGAAGGGGGGAGGAGGGGGGAGTAGGAAAGGCAGGAGGAAGGCTTTGCTTATAGAGAGAGGCTTAGTGCAGCAGAATATCTTACCGCTGAAAAGCAATTTGATACACTTGCCCCTTATTAACACCCGATTATTAAAATACCTCATAAAGTGAAACACTGCGACACTTCCAGTACAGTCTATAAACATTACATAACCCACGTTATATAACACCTATTATTCTGCAACACCCTTTATCAGCAGGCACCCGCCACAGCAGTCAGGAGCTGTCGCGGGACCCCCGTCTGTTTGATGCTCTGCAGCTTCCTCCTCAAACATGTGAAGTGGAACAGCCTTCAGAAAACATGAGCTCCAATTTGGGTCCTGACAGTCTTTACAAAGAGGACAAGAAATGGGAGCATTACAGCCACCTGCTGTTCAAGAAGGTTCACTACACTCAGACTGAAAATCAAGCCCAACAACCTGTTTAAGTCCAAAGTCATGCAAAGACAGAAAAGAAGGAAACGTTCACCCTGCAGTCCTCAAAACTAATTGAAATCTCGTCACCCTTTTCTATGACGGCCTACACACCTGCATCATACACTAAAAACAGAGCTGTGATGGAGTGTCTGCACGTGTGACATAGGACACACCAGGCTGCTGTAATCAATCACAGAGCGAAGGTGTGACGACAGCTGGACATGAGTAATGAGTCCCACCTGAGAGGATGAAGAAGATGCCGGACACAAAGGCCAGGATAGTGCGCTGAGGCCGGATGTGTCCGATGTTACTGATGACGAAGGCCGTGAAGACGAAGAGCAGCGACACCATGGGGAAGGGTGTGGCGGTCCGCACCATCTCTGTGGGGGGGAGAGGGCACAGAGTTACACAGAGCTGATGTCATGTGTCCTCAAACTGCTGGGAGAGGTGAGGGATAGTGTTTCTGGAGATAAGATAATAAGTATTAGTTAATCAGAGGTGGTTAAAGCTAGAATATAAATTCATATGTGGAGATGCCGTAACTTTTATCACTCAAAAAGGATCGGAAAGAGTATTCCTTTCTTTGGTGAAGCATGAAATTGCTTTTTAACTATGGGAGAGTTATGATATAAAACGTTGCCAGGACGTAACCACAGAACAAAGCAACACGGGAGAAACAAAACTAAGTTATAGCTTTTCAGTTAGTATCTTATCTACATTGAATATTAATTACAGCACTATTGACGGAGAACTTTAATAAACCAAAACTCTTGTTTCCTGAATCAAAGAAAATAATTGATATTTTATATTTAAAGATTTAAAGTTCCTTAAAAATCTTCATTCATGAGGATGATCGGCTTTTCTTAACCGCGTTAATGTAGTTAATCTGATCACTGCAGATGAACCAGTGCTATTACTAAGGGCTGCAACTATAGCAAATACTTTCATTTATGAAACTGTTCATTATTGTCTAAAATGTATCATGATTCATTTCAAAATGTCACAGTTCCTCAGAGTCCAAGTAAAATCAGATAGTGTGTAAAGTCGCTGTTGTGTGTTTTACTCACTGAGGATATTTGCAGTGTTTTCAGTGGTGATCTCAATATCAGGTTCAGTGAAGTACTCCGATGCGACACATCTCCCGTTTTCTGCTCCTGAGACAAAAAAAACGTACAAACAATTCAATGTTGGGGTTTCCCTTAAGGACCAAAGTGAGTGATGCATGAGGAGGCAAAACCATGACCTAGGTAACCATTATGTTTTGTGACATGCAGGCGCAGAAGCCCCTTTCCTGTCTTCTCTCAGTTACTGTGTGTTTGTATATGCACACACATATAGCAGCACTGTACAGTCATCTTTTCATTTCTGAATGTGAATGTTTAAAGATGTTGGTGTATCTTCCTACCAGCCACGAAGCAAACTCTCCAGAGGCCTGAATGCAGCGCCATCTTCACCTCCATGCTCTGATTCTGCTGCAGGATGATGCCCTCCACCATGATCAGCCAGTAGTCTGTGGACACGGCCACCCCCACCAGCAGCAGCCCGCAGGCCCCGAACACCGTGGACAGGATGGTCAACGCACGGCTGCTACATGAACTCATCTGGAGGCCAGAACCAGGAGGGGGGAGGGGGAGAGGTTAGACCAGATGAAGAATTACATGTCATAAATGCAGAGACACACATGTAGGTACATTTGGAAGGGGTCGTGTAGGGAGGTCATCGGGAACGGGGGAAACGGACATGTGACGCGCACACATGCAAAGAGCTAGTGGCTATCGTCCTGTCTCGCCTTGTTATGGCTGAGGATGAGTTAGTGACAAATACGTTGGCAACCAATCCTGTTAAAGGTCAGAGAGGAGCCAATGCAACAGATGATGACTGGGCGATGAACCACTGAACTTAGGCAAGAAAAATGAAGAGATAAATAGTGGAAAAGCACACACACACACACACATAGATCAGAGCAGGGAGGAGAGGTCCTGTGTGACTCACACATGGTCTTTCTGTGATTTACTTCTGGTTGACTGGAAAAGACTCCACTGCAGATCCTGTGAGCATGCTGTCTCTATGCATTTGTGAGTTTCCCTGAACGTGTGCGTGATTGTTTAGCCGCTATAGCCTCTGCTTAATTTGGACCACTGTTCAGTATCATCAGCTTGACAAGAACAAATGCACGTAGAAAACACAGAGCGGTGTCGGTGTTTACTGTAATCACAGTCGTTTTGTTCAGCACATTATGCTTCACACTGAGAGGATATCTTCATGTTAAGCTTCACTGACGTGGTTTTTGCATTTTTATTTTATTCTGATTTCTCAAAGTCCAAGGTGAAGTCTTTAAATGTATCGTTTGACTGTCCATTCCTGGAGATAATCACTTTCATATGATGTAAAACACAGCGAATGAGTGAATGTCCTTATTTAAGTTGCTGAAGAAATGATTTTTCAACATGAACAATATACTTTTTAGGGTTAAGTGATTATCAAAATTGTTTACATTTTTCTGCCGAACGACTTATCCTTCTGTCAAGTAATCACTGCAGCTGAAAATAAGTTGTATTCGGATGCTAGGATGGTACAATCTCCCAGTGGCTGCATGCACTTCACGTTGTGTTTCAGGCGCTGGGCAGACCATAAAAGGATACTTAAGTGATTTTAAATGAAATGTGACACAGCAATAACTGGCTGGAAGAGGCCAATTATTGGCATGAAGTAATGCACCTGCTCTGCAACAAAACACACTCTGACAGCCATCTCAGCCTTCAGAACATCGGCCCTAATGTGTACCAAGAAAACTTTCCCAACATCATTACAGAGACTGTGCTGGCGGACAAGAGGCAGAATGGAGCTTATACACCAAAGTCTGACCCTTACTGTCACAAGATAATTGACATTCGTTGTAACAGGAAATGTTTTCCCTTCTCTTCCTGTTCAGTTTGTAACTACTCAAGCTTTCCCCTCTTGTTCATATCTGACAGGAGTGAAATCAGGCATATTCTTCTGCTGATGTAACACTGCTGCTTCACGGTTTGCAAAGGGGTGTGTCTTTGAGATGATTTCCTCTGATGTAATGGATGCTGCTTTGCATACTTGTGCACTGCTTGCTTGACTGTTATCAATAAAATGTTTACAATGCTGCAGCTGACCAGATTCCTTTTTGTAGTTTCTTGAATCATTCTCTGTAAACCATCACCTATGCGTTATTACATCCAGTACGTGACATGAACTCTCAGGGCACTGAACTTATCTACGGTACCTTGTATGTCTTGTGGAGTGAGCCATTTGAATATCAATATATGGTAAAATATATCATGTTTAAGCCGGGGAATGAATTCCTAGTCTGACCGTTCTATCAGACACTTAAGAGCGCTTTGACGAAAGAAAATGAAAGCCAAACTAATGACTTAAACATGAGAACTACTTTATTCTTCTTCTGGTCTTTCTTTGTATGACAAACCTTTGAGTTTTTGAAAAGCAGAGTTATAATAGATACAGCCATTCTGCTGGGGAATAAACTCTTAAAGATTAAGCTTGGCTCCTTCTTATCTGGAAAGGCCATTGTGTGAGACGTGACCACTATAGAAGTTGCCTCGGCTTCTGTGCAGCACCGGGGATGAATAGAGCTTCTTTTGTGAGCGCGGCGTATGTGTAAGAACAGAGCTGGCTGGTGGTAAAGGGTACGCATCACAGAAATCCTCTGAGAAATGACAAGTTTGGGCATGTCAAAGCTAAAAGGAGAACATGATGCACAGGGTGGGTTACTAATGTGATGGAGAGATGTAAGGGTGGGGGGGGGTATGACCAACCGCAATCCAGTCGCACAAACAGGTTGGATTGAAGATGGAAGAGCAGAGCGATCAAGAGTACAACAATTACAAGTGACATTATGCAACCATCTAAGACACAACTGAAGATTTGTTTTACACTATCTCTCTTTTAGTTTCCCTTTTCTTTGATCAGAGATTGTAAATCGCGCGGCAGGCCCCGAAGTAGCCACCGTGGCTGTCGACACTTTAGGCGGACAAGAGTTTGAGCCAGTGTGATTGAGAGATTTCAAGGTAATTCAAAAACAACTCACTCGAATGACATGTGAAATGACTAAAGGCAAAGAAAAGGGGAGATGTAAAAATGAGACGTGGGGGTGAACAATCACACCTTCCAGCCTTTGGAGGATGTGCCAAAGTGGGTTAGGAATGAGTGAGAATCAATTGGCGTTGCAACCCAGCAGAATTGAGTGGATGAGCCTGAGTGGCTCTTCCAGACTCATTCAGCAGCACGGACAGCAGCCTCATCTCTCTGAGAAGGACTGCACCGTCAAACAGAACACAGATATAGATAGACATATAGAAATACATCATGCTGGTTCTTAATGGAGTTGGACACAAATGATTGGGACAGATTCACCTCTTCACCCGCCAGGCACTGTGTCCATATCAGCCCTCAAAAAGTGTCTAAAGAGCTGTTGCAGTTTTGAGAGAAATGGCCATTGAGATTGAGCAGAACAAATGCCTGCTAGATTTGTGATAACTATCCTATTTTAGCGCTGGGAGACAGGCCCTTCGCTCCATCGCCCAGAAAGTAATGAGCCAATTGAATTTGTTAGATAGGAGCCACAAGGGGGACAAACGGTTTAATTCTCTCTAATCTGTCACAATCTACAGACTGACATCACCTCTCAGCCTCACAGGAAAGGAAGAGAAAGAGGGAGAGATGCCAAGAGGAGAGGAAATGGAAATGTGCTGAAGAAAAGAGATCAGCAGAGAGAGGAGGATGAAACTATGTTTGGAGTCTTTGAGGCAGAAACAGCACGAGTACATGTAGATTTAGGTTAACACATGGGAAAGACCTTGGTCCAAAAAATGGAAGGCGTACCCAACATGGACGCGCACGAAGGGGATGCGCCTACACCTGTTTCAAACTAACCAACCTTGACTGTGCAGCGTCTCAGAAATCAGCCCGGGAGGAGGACGGAATCACTCAGGGAAAAATAAATGACTTCATAACGACTAACTGAAGATATCGTGACTCAATGGGTGGGTTGCTCATGATTTCTCGGAGCATTTCAGCTGCGCAGCCATACTCTGGTGAAACTCGCACCATTTTCACGGAGCCGAGCGAATAGTTATAGACAACGTTTTTTCTGTTAAACTACATGCATGTAATAATAATAATAGGGGTTCTGTATCCTGGTACAGGGCTGACTGAGGCAGTGATGTGCGCATAGGATTGTCTAACCCCCCCTCCCTCCTCCCCCCTGCTGTCACACACACTCACACGCGGAGTTTGGAGATGATAAACACAGATCAGCGAACATGTGAGCAACTCGCAGACAAAATGTGGATGAAATGGGGAGAAAACATGAATAGCTCGGCATGCAGGTAACATTTAGCTCCGATATGTTAAATGAAAGATGAGCGGTTGTCTTTACGCTAACACGACATGAGGACACGTTATGAATGCTGCGCTTTTCACAGCTGTCATCACACACACACCAACACACATTTGACATGACTGAGTCAGGTTTTAAAAAGGCGTCATCGCCCAAAGAAACACACAACTGTAGTTAATTTAAAGAAGGGGGAAAATACTTACCCTGCCACGAGAGTCGTGCGCACACGTCAGTAGCCAAGAAACCTCACACCAGGGAGGCTTGGTTGGCTTTGGACACTCTCCCTCTCTCTCTCTTCTGTGTGTTTTCCCTTAAGCCCCCTTACCCATCCTCTAAATCCCTCACTCTCTCTTTCAGTCAATCTGTCCCAGGCACTGCGGTGGATTGGTTCAGCGAGCTACTTTGGCTACAAAAGAGACATAGCGGGAGCAGGGGGGAGAGAAGTGTTGGAGAGAGAAAGGGAGAGATAGTGAGCGCGCGAGAGAGAGAGAGAGAGAGAGAGAGAGAGAGAGGGAGGGAGGGAGAGAGAAAGTGAGAGCGAGGGAGAGACAGAGGGAGGGAGGGAGGGGTCATGTTAAACAACTATTCCTTAACTTATTGTCTATTTTAAGATGTGTTTTGTTTTTTTAATGCTATTCAGTAATGTATTTGTATTGTGTTGCATAATGTAAGTTAGACAGCGTAGTTGGAGTGTAGCTCTTTACAAATATTTAATGATTTTTATTGGCTTTATTATTACATTTCAAATCATTTTTACTTCTTATCACAGAGCCAGTTATGTATCAAACACAAAAGTGCACTTACCTGAGGAAAGGGGCTAAATACATGAAGTTTGATTAAGTTATTGAAACCATTTCTTGCTTGTTTTCTTACAGTCCCTTTTTTTTTTTTTTACTTAGATTGTGAACAAAGGCTTACTTCATGTAATGGCTATGCTGTACTTAAGTGTACCAACAAAGCAAACCAATAACTAATTAACAGCATTAAGTATTAAATATCAGTAAAACAAATGCAGCAGATCAGCTTTCCTGTGGTAGCCGTATAGTTCATTTATGATCTTGTTAAAAACTTTGATTTAACACATCATATTATGAAATCACATGAATAACAGTTAACAGATAGGAACCTTTCTCTACCTATCACTTTCTTTGTCTCTTCATCCCCCTCCTCCCTTGTCTCCTGTGGTCCATGTCCCTTAGTCTATTTTTAGCTGGCTGGTGGAGGAATCCTATATTTTTAGTAACGATATCAATAGTCTACAGCACACTCTGACCTCAGGGCATGAGCGAGAAAGTGAGAGGGAGCGAGATGAGAATGAGATAGAGACTAGATAGAAAAGAGAACAGGGGGAGAGAGAGAGAGAGAGAGAGAGAGAGAGAGAGAGAGAGAGGAAGAGGGAGAGGAAGAGGAAGCAGCAGTGAGGAAGAGGGATGATATCATGTCGAAGTGACAGTGAATGATGGACTGCACACACAACTTCGCCTGGAGAGCCTGGAGGTTTAGTTACACAGAGGCAGATAGTGTCAAGGTTGGAGCAAATGTTGTGGTGAGGAGATTAAAATCAGGCAGTCGACATCAGGTAGACATCAAACACCGAGCAGGATTCCTCTTTTCAGAAAAGAGACTTTTCACGTTTTAATTTCTTTACAGTACCTAATTTAAATGTAAAACTGTAGGGTAGAATTGCATCACAGACGGTAAAAAGCCTGCCAGTACAATCTACAAAAGATACAATAATTACAGAAATCAATACGAAAACCATCAGTAAATTACCTTGTGACATGATTGATGACATTTTTCAAGTGTTATGGCAACAAAAGGACATCAGGCTTGTTTTATCTTCAAAACTAGGTTGTAATAATTTTAAAGATTATATTGAGATCTGAGAAAACTCTCACGCTTTCTCACTGAAGGACAAATAAGTGTAGAACAGATCATACTATTGTTGCAGACAAGATAAGACACGATGCAAGAATAAAAAGACAACTGTGGAGAGAAAATCAAAGAGATAACAGGAACAACAATAAAACAATTCTGACAATATGATTTACAGAGAATGACATCAAACAAAGCATTAAAGCATTGACGGTGCAGCACTGACAGGAGAGACGGACAGAGGAGAGACGGATGAAAGGAAGAAAGAGTACACGACAGGGAGGAGAGGGAGATGGCAAGTTGATGAGATTTTAATGTGAAGGTCAACTTGTTATAACTCAGATCTCTATGGGAATATTAGTCCCATCATGATGCTGCTGGAGGGGTTGAGGGGGGCGGGGCCCAAGGGGGGAGGAGGTGGGAGTGCGAGGCTGCTTCAGAAGAGGAAGAGGGAGTGAAAGTGAGATGCCTGAGAGGTGGTTTTGCTGGTTCGACAACTACAGTATCACAGTAAATAGAGAGGTCAGCATCTTCTGTCTGTGTGTCTGTGTGTGTCTGTGTGTGTGTGTGTGTGTGTGCACATGCTTGAGATTGCACTTTTGAGAGTGAGTATGTGTGAAAGTGAGGGAGAGGGAGTGAGCGTGACAGAGAGGCGTGAGGAGGAGACAAAGCGAGATTGCATGTTTGTTTCTCAGTAGCTTTGCACAAAATCACACTTCACTTGTTCTTGTTTAATGATTGTTTCATTAAGTTTATTGCAATTTTCATTTTTCAGCAGATAAAAACAGAAGTTAACTCAACTAACAGATACATATCTATTGTATTGTATTTATTGAGAGTATTGGTTAGTATTGTGTGTTGTGACATTGCATCTCAACTCACTCTGAGGCGATCAGTTCAACAGCTTTGACCTTTTACAGTTGACCACTTTTAATGGGTTGCACACAATTAATGCTAATCTGGATGATTTTGCTCCCCTGGATGAAAAATGGTTATAATTATCGTTATGCTGACATAGTATGCTAAAAAATCATGAAGAAGCTTAAAAGAAAAACAGATTTCTGTGGGAATTAGCCGGCTGGTTTGTGAGATAAGAGCACTGAAATGGGATTATTAAACTGTATGTTTGCAGCCACCTGCCCTGCTCAGATAGTGTTTAATGACAGTGCATGCTATTATTTTTCCATGTATTGAACAGTCCCAGAGAGCCTCACTTTTAATTACGCCTAATCAATGCTGTGAGTATACGTCATTACACAGCAAAAAGCTTTATGGTATACACCACAAAAATAAAAAAGTCCAACCCGAAAACATCATTAAGAGGCTAATTATCTAATACTGCAAATACAGATTTCAGTAGCATGATGTCATTAGGAGCACTTTTTTGCAATGTGGAGGGGCTCGCTCAAGAAGAATAGAGAAATAAAACCCTGTGAACAAAAAAGGATGCAGCCTAAACTGTGGCAGTGATGTAAGGACGCCATCTCAGTGATAATAGAGTCAGGCATAGCAGGCATGAGCTGGGGGTGTTGGTCTGCGTTAACAGTCACATTGTGCCCAATGTGTTGTTTCAGCATACAGTGGGTCATCTGTGGTCACCGGTGGGACGTTCAACTGGGAGGTCGGTCCAGGCCAGAAGAACCTGACCGAGCTCTTCCACAGGATGCCAGTCTAACAAAAATAAAAAGGCTACTCACTCAGTTTGCATCATAGTCAACACTCAGACACACACAGTGAGACAGATGTGTATGAAATGCAAAAATATTAAAAAGTGACTGTATTGCCTGCTATGTGGCCTGTATAGCTGCTTTACTTAAACCTGACTTGTAATTGTTTTGTAAATACAGCTCCCAAAAATGTCTAATTAAAGATATGGTAACCGTTTTAAATACATTGATTGGAAAGTCACACAGTATAGTACTCTAGAACTATAGAAAACTAGTGTGTCAAAGCCTTTTATTCTAAAAACATGCATGCAAAAGAGACTCATTTCTACAGTACTCCTATATCAAGGGATATGTCTTACAAAAAACTCTAAGAAGGGAATCTACAGGAAAATACTGGCTTATTTGGTTGCAACAGTTTCTGTGACTATCAAGATTGAATACAAACATCAAATAGAGTGCATGACTTTAAAGGTGTCTTGGCATTTTCATGTAAACGTCAGAATTTGGATATGAGAGGTGTCTTTGAAAGCTGCTGCTACTGTAGATCTCATGTTTAAATTCTTTGTTATAAAACTACTATTAAGAGGCTTAAAAAGGTTGGTGGGGTCCGTTTTCAAACAGCAGTGAGAGGCGAGGGGGCAAAGTCTGGGTTTTGGAAGGTGAAGTCCTGGAAGTCCTCCTGGTTGATGGCTGCTAATACATCGGGGTCAGAGGGAGTGAGCACTGACGGAGCTGCTGTGAAGAACTGGTCAAAGTTTTCTCCTTTCTTCCCACCCTGATGAAGAAGAGGAGAAGATAAGCACGCTCACATTTGTGATTAATACTGATTGTACACACACCCTCATCGTCCTCCTGAAAAAGATATTAGAGAGGCCAAATTATTAAAAGACTCCACCTACGTATCTCTCTTTCTCACCCACACCATCGTTTTCTCTCCGAGGAGCTCTACCACACCTACTGTATGCAGAAAGTTGCTCACGTCTCCTTTCCTGCTCCTTGACAGCCGTTCTGCTGGATGATATGAATCTCATTTGGCTAATGGGCCTGGCCTCTGACCCCGGAGCATACTCAGCTCACTCAAAGCCCACCCCACCATTGGCCAGCAGGGACGCAAACTAGAGTGTAGCAGGCTAATGATGACACACATTTGCATATGGGAGGTGTAGGTAGGACCCCAAGGTCAGAAGGGTCCTGTCTGTTATGACTGGACTGTCTGTTCCTGAGCGCTCAAAGCCCTTCTCTAGGAACAGGCAGAGGTGATGAAAGAGAGAAAAAGAGGGGAATAAGGGGGAAAGGGGGGAAGGGACAGGGTCATTTGAACAGAGATAAGAAGAGGGGATGACATGGCCAAGACAATGAGGACGGCTGAGAGAGGATGCATGCAGGAAAATGAAGGAAAGCGTGGGAGTTTGAGAGAGAGGAGACAGATGGAAGATAGTGACAGCTTCAACTCCCTAAAAGTGTCCTCGGAGAGACAGAGATAGAAATGAAGGGTAAAGAACTGAGTGGGAGGATGGTGGAAAGAAAGAAAGAGAAAGAGAGAGAGAGAGAGAGAGAGAGAGAGAGAGAGAGCGTAGAGAGAGGGAGGCGCGAGAACTCTATAGAGAGATCAATGCGTTTCGGTAAAGAGCGATGTTCGCGCTCTTGAGGCGAGCGCGCCTCTCGAGGTCTCGCGAGTCTCGCGAGAGACTCGAGAGAGAGAGAGAAAGGAAAGACTGACAGTATCTTGGTGGAACTGGCGGTGTGATCTCCAGTCTCTCCAGACGGTCCCAGTCGAGCCAGCGGAAGAACGGATGCTCCCTGATTTCTCTCTCTGCGTCCAGTCCTCCGCCCAGACGCTTGGACGGGTGCTTGGTCAGGAGCTTAGGGAGAAGAAAGGAGAATGAAAGTGGAAAAAGGAAAGGCGAATAGTGTGGTTATCATGGAATATAGCAAGTTATATCTGCTCTGCTTTCTTTAGTCAACAATTTGCATGGTAAGCTTTAAATATTATTCAACCATAATTTATTTTAAGTGTTACATTATGAAATACATTTTTTTTTTTTATAATCGATGCATTTATATAAATTGTGTCTAGAACTATTTGCTCTCTTTCTGAGAATTGAAAGACTAGCGCCATATGGCTGTCCTAGGTAAGAAGCCGCAGCCTGTTAGCTTAGCTTAGCATTAACGCTGGCAACAGGGGGAAGAAGCTAGCCTGGCACTGTATACAAAGGTAACCAAAAATGAACATGTAAAACCCCCTAATTTACATTTGACATATTGTTTGCTTAATCCAGACAAAACCCAAAGTGCAAAAAACTACAAAATCTATGAAGTATTAAAGGATGTGCGGGAGTATTTCAAGGCAAAGAGACTTCAAGTAATCACTGCAACAAGCTCAAAAGTAGTCTGGCAAACAAAACACCCTCTTTAAAAGGACATATTAAACAAACAAAAGTGTTCCTTAGTGGTTTTGGAGATGCTTAAAGAAGGATTTGGCTACTTCAGGCTGTATTTATGTCAAACTAATGGCTCTAGCTTCATATTCAACAAACATTTAGGAGCATGGTATCAATCTTTTCATCCAACTCTACAGACAATACATCAAAAAAGTGTATTTCCCTAAAGGGTTGAACTATGAAGTAGTCAACCATTTGCATGGTTTTCAGAATAACATATGCATTTATACTTAATTGTCCATGTGTTAAAATGATATGAGTATAAAGAATGGTAACTCACTCCCTTGCAGATAGCGACAGCTTCACGAGTGAGACTTTTCGGGTATATGACGCTTTGTTCCATGATGGACTGAAACAGCTCCTCCTCATCTATTCCATCAAAGGGTGGCTGCAAGGAAAAGATGGGGAGAGAAGAAGAGAGAGAGAGAAACCATGAGGACCTGCGAGCAAATTGAAAGCAAATACATTGAAATTAAAGTTCTCTTGAAAGTCTTTTGAAGTGATTACAAAGGAAAGCACTGGAGGCTTAAGTGTCTGTGCACACGGCCCTATTGTCAGGATTAAGATGAGTGTTACCTGTCCTGCCAGCATTTCATACAGCAGTACTCCAAAAGACCACCAGTCCACTGCTTTGTCATAGGGCTGATATGCCACAATCTGCAAAGGATGGAGAGAACAGGAGAGGAGATAAAGGGGAAGAATGGCAGTGCAGAGATAAGGAAGTAGAAAGAGGACGGGGAGAGTGAGAGAAAGCGCAGTTATGGAAGTCGGCTGCTCGGATGATATGCAGCTATCAGAGACAGCCGCAGTAAAATAAGCAGAGAGAGAGAGGAAAGTATGGCATTAGGGAGGGTAAATGTAGGAATGAGCTCAGGAATAATCGTGTTTGTCTGCACGTGTGTTGGTGTGTGTGTTTGTTTGTTTCACTGGTGTGGGTGTACGAGGGAACAATTTCCAGCCCCTGGGGAAATTTATTGTATCTCTTCCAAAATGGCAGATGCAGTAGAATCAATGGGTGTTTACATAACAGAGTCAATACCCAGAGGTACAATAGAAAGGTTTACAATATCAAAGACGTGCACAACAGTCACATCTTGTCTTTTTGAGTCACTTTACTATAAATATATAAACCAAGCATGCTGGATATCTCTTCTCTTTCTCTGATTTGTATTTGTTTACTTCATTTAACGCACACACACATATTTCAAACAATCTGTAAGGCAAACATTGGAAAGCACGCAGGCCTAATATTTTGCATTTCAAAAGGTTGTTAACTAATTCACCTCCGACTGTTTTCTATTAAAAATGTGCATTATCATCAACAAAATCCTTTTAAAATGAGTTCAGTGGTTTGCAATACTCTCGGGGGAGTTAATCAACTTAAGTCAATTGCGGTAAAAGAAAGGGGAAAAACTGGTAAACCAAGGTCTCTGAAGGACAATCGTGAATTTTATTCTCATCGCACAAGCACACACACCATGCTAATTGAATCATGTGAAGCTAATTATTCAAAAATGCTGACAAGGTCAGCAAGGACGGAGGAGACGAGAGGAGCTGCAGCGAAGCAACTCTCAGCGACGCAAAACAGGTCAAGCAAATGAAACGGGGAAGACGGGGGGGAAAAGAGGGATCTAAGGAGCAAAAAAAGGACGCTCAGGAGTTAGTCTGGACCATGACGTGAGAGTAGGGGTACCTCAGGGGCGATGTAGTCTGGGGTGCCGCAGAACGTCTGCGTGGTGTCGCCCTGGAACATGCCCTCCCTGCCCATCCCGAAGTCAGCTATCTTGATGTGGCCCTCGCTGTCAAGCAGCACATTATCCAGCTTGAGGTCCCTGAGAAAGGAGGAGACAGACCACACAGGTATGAATCATGTTGATAGATAACATCTTTATAAAAGTCATTAGCTACAAAAGACATGATAAATCTGTGTTACGCCTGTGTGACAGTGCCAGGGCCAAACCAGGGCGTGTTAGATGAGCAGTGCTCTCTCTACCTGTAGATGATGCCTTTGCTGTGGAGGAAGAACAGGCCGACCGCTATCTCGCCCGCATAAAACCTGGAGGCAGAAGAGAGGGAGAAGGGTCTCACTACTGGTTGCTTTATCTTGCCGAAAATTGGCCAAGGTTTTTCTCCGGAAGGGAGCTCAAGAGGGTGATGAAAGAGAGAGAAACCAAATAAATGAAAGGCTGGAAGATGAAGAAAGAGAGTTGAAAATGAACAACAGGGTAAAACAGTTTCAAGATGATTGATCAAAGTATTATTGATTAGATGAACAGCCTAGGGTTGGGAACATGTAGATGAAAAGATGAGATTTGTGGGAGGAGAAAATCAGGGGGAAAGGAAAAGGGCTGGTACTTGAGCTGATGATTTTTTTTTACGAGTCATCAGATGTAATGAACAAAGCGTAGCGACGAGTGTGTATGCGAGGGAACATTGGAGGATAAAAGAAAGGCCGTAATGGAGCCGGAGATGAAGAACGTGATTAAAGGTGAAAGAAAGGAGCTTTGTTTCTACATACGCTGCGTGAGGCTCTTTGAACTTCCCGACTATCTGAATGTGAAACATCAGATCTCCTCCGTCGACGTATTCCATCACATAATACAGACGGTCCTGCAGAAACCAAAACACACACACGCATATACACACTCTCCATATATAATCCCCTCTTGTCCAAATTAAAAAGCAATCTGTTAAAACCTCCTCCAGGACCAGGGACCTTGTTAAAGAAAGCAAACTAATTATTTAATTTAATAATCAACATTCTCAAGCAGCCTTTACTGAAGAAACTCCTGGGAGGACTACGCAGCCAAAATGTCAGGCAGGTTTATGGACAATTTAATGATGTGGTTCATTTAGGACCTCGTATATCTTTCCACACACACACAGACCTACACACACCTCAGTCTGGAAGGCGCAGTACAGCGATGTGAGGAAGTGAGGGCGGGTGGAAAGCGCCAGAACCCTCCTCTCCACCATGGCGCTCTCCGTGTCTTCGTCCTGGAAGAGAACGTCTTTCTTCAACACTTTCACGGCGAACAGACGCTCGCTGCCTCGCTCCTCTGCCAGCAGCACCTGCACAAAGAGGAGAGAAAGTTACGCTAAAAACTAAGAAAACCAAGAATGTTGAAGCAGAAACAGCACGTATTTCGCCTGCTTGAGTCTGTAAATACACACAGAGCTTATTTATAGACAACACTACACTACACTGTGTGCTAAAAAAACATTTAAGAATTCCAAATTGCCTTTTTTAAGATTCCTCACCCTTAGCAGTTAAGTACTGTACTGCCTGTACAGAACATTTTTTAGGTCATTGTGTTATGAGTGACATGTTGCTCTACTTAGGAAAAAACTAGTTCTGCTGTTTTAATGAAGATGATGTGCTTTTGAGGCACATTTGCAATATTTTGAGCTTGAAATGTGTGATTCTGCTAAACAAGGAATTGTATAAAGTGCTGGTTATTAAAATACGCACTTATTAGTAGAGAGTAAAATAGTAGAAGAGAAAAAAGATACGTTATCATGTTGTGCTTGCTTTGGCATGTTCAATACTGTGCAAATGCCCCCCAATAGTGAAATAACAGTTTTTAATTAAAGCCAGAAGATTTCAAGACATGTTAATGTTATAAATGAAAAAGCGAAGTGGCTCTCGTGTTTTTATCAGACATTCAAAACACATTCAAAACACATTCAAAACACATTCATCTGCGATTTTCTCCCTTCTTTTAAATTGGCTGCTAGCGGGTTGCTCTGAGAGCTAATGATACTATCATTTTCTACAATGAGAGCCCCATGATCCGGGTTTTACTGTGGTTCAAGGAAAGATATGGTCAAGAGCACTGGACAAATATTGACAACAACACTCTCTGAAATTGTCGGGCCCGGCTTTAACGGCCACCGGCTCGTGGGGAGTAAGGACCTCATTCTACTTTCAAATAGTGATGAGAAGTAGAGAAAATTACCATGGTGTCATTTTTCGGAAATGAATGCGACTACACACTGTTGCTTTTGAAGAAGAATATGTGTGCGTGCGTGCGTGCGTGCGTGCGTGTCACTAATAAACTGCCAGTCAAGAGAAATCCTGTCGTCCTCTGTGATCTTGTTTCCTGCTCTTCCCCGCTCTCTCAAACTAACTCGCATAAAAATAGGACTCGTCACACTTCGGAATATTACAAGTCTTACTAACACAATCGCGCATGTACTTTTTCCTCTCCTCCGCTCTTGTTATCCCACTTCCTCTTGGTCATTGTGTCACTTTCCGCAGCACAGTAATGCTCCCACTTCCTCTCTATCTGTGTCTCACTATCCCTCACTCAGCAGCCCCGGGGTCTGTCTCTCCTTTTCTTGGGTCGTTTTTTTTTCGTTCTCACATCTTATGTAAGTCTAGTCTATTTCTCATGTCCTCTGTAGACTCTCCTCTGACAGTTATGAAACAGCACAGGGGGATTTCAGAGGAAGTGGAAGGACTCAAAACTCCTCTCTCTTCATTATGCCTCATCTACTGGGGAATTAAAAAGAAAATGAAGAGCACAGGCTCCCGGAGCATGGACACCTCCAGGAAGACTGTGTGGCATGTAGGATGCCAGCCAGCTCCAGCTCACGACTGCTGACAGAACAAAAGAAGCTAAGGGTTAAATGAATCATTTGGCAGAAGTGAGAGAGACAATGAGCATGTTAGTGAGAACCTTTTTCTTCTCCAAAGACAGACATTCCTCCCAGGAGCTGCTCTGTGAAATGCCAGCTGAAGGTCAAGTCCATCAATAGAAGAAATGATTTGAAGCCGGGAATAATCTTTGTTGATTTCAGCATGATCGACCTCTTTGAAGTCACCTACAGCTGTTGGGTCAGACGATCGTGGGTATAGATAAGAGGACAGTTTGTCGTGGCTGCTGTGTTTACCTTGCCAAAGCTGCCTTTTCCCAGCACCATGAGGAAGTTGAAGTCCACGATGCCCACTTGGACTTTGGCAGGGCCGGGGGCGTGGACGGGGGGGGCCGGATGGGACAGGGGCCGGGGACAGGGCCACAGGGAACGTCTCAGACAGCGAAGTGGGGAGGGCATGAGGCAGAGAGGGTAGTATGCCGTCTGGCTGAGGCTCCTGGAGGATCACAGGGGGAGAGTTCAGACATGAATGGTTGGAAGCAGTCCAGCACAAACCTACAAACCCTACAAACTCCCTCATAGCCCCTAGTTTAGCATCACGGTCCGGCAGAACAACCCTGCACCCTGGTGGAGGCCGAGGGTAACAGGGAGGGGACCCTATATAATTTATTATCTAATTATCTAGCTTTAACTACAGGCATAAATCTTACAGGGTTTTTTTCTCTCACATAGAATAGAGAAGGAGAGTTCAAGATCCTGACCCAGTGTGAGCAGTGGCAGCTGTTGTTTATTATATCGAGCAAATTAGAAGATGATGAATGGTAATGATAAAGACATAAACGGCTGTTGAATACAGTAATAAATATATCTTGGTCAATATGGGAGACCAAGGGATTTGTTACGCTTTTTTGTCCGTCCCGGGGTAAGCCTCCTACCTGGAGGTCTGGGTCTGGCACTGGGATGTTATAGTACTCTCCTTCATCTTCGGCCAGCAGTTTGAACCAGCCGCTGATGGGACGCCTGAAGATCTCACTCACTCCGAATGACAGCGCTCCCATGAAATCGTTCCTAGACGTGCGGTCCCAGTCCCATACCTCCACAGACAGACGCCTGTCCCACTGGGTACCGCGCACTGAGCTGGAGACAAACACAACAACTCTAAATCACTGGGGAGGGCTGTGTAAGCAACACACCAATGCACAAAGACACAGATTGTTTTTCTCATTGTTTCACCTTCATGACTTCTTGGCAATTTCCAAATATCTAATTTTCACAGCGCACAAGAATCACGCAAAGGTAAAGATAGTTAAATCAGTGATGTTAAATAAGGAGCATACACTCAGGCACCATCAACCTTACATTCGACACTCCTACCTGTGTCTTTACGTGTCCTTTGTTTGACTCAGTAAATCTTATTTCTAGGACATTTTATTTGATCTAAAGCACGTTTTGTCCCAGACTTGTGTATGTTTTCCACCTTAAATTCAAGTTTGCAAGGACTCACAAGGTGAAACTCTCATTCCAGATGGGATTGAGTGTTGAGCGGATGGTCTTTGTCTTCTGTTTGCTGTGGCTCTTCGGGTCTGGAATCAATTTCAGTTTAACATACGGGTCTGACAGGCCGTTTGGATCCATGGGCATCAGGTTACGAGCCTCCCGCACTGAAGACAAAAGTAGAATAATGGAAAGCACGAACAGAGAAATCCTTCATTGCCTGTGTAATCCTACTATTTGTTTTAAAATGATCCAGCTGGTCCTCTCACCTGTGACGAAGACATCCTCCTTCTCTCCTCTCACAGTCAGGTGGATCCTCCCCCTCTGCTCTGTGTGGTCTTCACCACAGAGACTGGGAACACTGGTCTCACACCGCCGATGGACGTTCATGTCACAACCTCAAGGACAAACAAAAACAAGAATAAACAAACAGATGCAGGGAAAACTGAAATGTGGCACATATTAATAAGACCAGAATGATACCCTGTTTCCTGTTATCACTGTCATATAAAGGTGAAACATCTTTATTTTAATATATTTTATACATGCATATACATCTTGTTTTTGTTACTTTGGAAGATTAGATGTTGCCCTGACTAGTATTTCATTTCCTTGACATTAACCCTAACCCTAACCATTACTGCTGCATCTAGCATGCCTAACAACCTCCATCGTAACACTTAAACAGTTGTATTTGCATACTTAACTATAGTTAGATCAAATTGATAAAACTGTCATGAGTTACCTGTATTTACATGGTCACCCATAATCTAGTTTATTTAAGCATGAAGCATTGAAAAAAGGGGGACACAGCTAACCTGCCTCTGTCTCACAGTAGCAAATAAAAAGCTTTAATAATGGTCTAATTTGATATCATTTGCTTCAAGGGCACAACAACTGTGAGAGAGGGTTATGTATTGGTCTATTTCTTAGCCAGGCAGACTCCCTTCTTGGAGTCTCCAGTGGCTGCAAATCCACTCATCTAATTTTCTGCAGGAAAGTGAATAAGCATATTTCCCAAAACTACCCGAAACATAAAGTTAACTCCACATTTTGGAGGCTAATTTTGTCAAGACCAGCTTTATTTCCCCAGCTGGGAGGCTACGAGTAACAAGAATGTGCCTGTGTGAACTTATTCTTATCCCCACAACATACATACACAAATACAAGAATGCTCGGATTCATGGCACTGTGATGTGTGGTGAAACTCACTGCTACATTTCATGCCCTGGTGTATCAGGCCGTACAGCAGCGAGCCACAGTGGTCGCAGAAGGTGGGACTGGAGTAAGTCTGGACCTTAAATGTGTGTTGACTTGCCAGATCCTGCAACACAACAGAAACAATCTGCATTGAGAACACGCACACAAACACTGCATGACCAGATACTGCGAACACGCACACATTTACACACATGCATGCATGGGTATGATAAGTGGAGAGATGTTGAGTGGGGTATTCATGGACGAGCCAATTAGATTTCTCCACTGGGAGAAGACATATAAATGAGAGTGCATCTCGGCAAGGCTGTGTGTGAGTGTGTGTGTGTGTGTGTGTGTGTGTGTGTGTGTGTGTGTGTGTGTGTGTGTGTGTGTGTGTGTGTGTGTGTGTGTGTGTGTGTGTGTGTGTGTGTGTGTGTGTGTGTGTGTGTGTGTGTGTACACTGTGCAGAGAGGGATGAATCATTTTTATCTCTCTACAGCTCATCAGACCCCACCACCACCCTCTCCACACACCACCTTCTCCCAAACAGTTTTCCCTCTGAGCAGCTATTTAAAATCACCATCACCCTGTTTCTCCTCTGCATGTGAGCGCTTCACGCTCTCATCCTCTAACACACATACACACACACACACACACCGTCACACACATGGTCCCCTTGACCTCATTTCTAAGCATATTTGGCTGGCAGAAAAGAAAAGGCAAATCTCCCTGAAATCCTCAAAATGCCACAGAGAGGAAGACTGAGCAGTCTTTTGCTCTCCCTTTCTCTAATTCCCCCTCTTATCAGCCCCTCCGCCTTTATCTCCCCCACTCTCTATCTCCAACTCGCTGCATCTCTGAAGCCTTGCAGGATGACATGAGTGCAGACGTCACAGATGGGACAAGGCTGTGCGATTTGAAGGATGCATGGATTGACGGGTGAGTCACGCACACGTGTTCCTGTCACTGAGTGGATGGTTGAATGTGATGATGACGGGCTGAATCATGAATAAAGTGCGACAAAAAAAAGGATGTAAGCGGAAAAGGAAAGTCATATCTTTTCTGGCACATCTGCTTACATCTGGTTGTGGGCCCGCCACAGAGCCGGGGCAAGTGAAGGTCACTAATTCGTGACATCTTTTGTGGACCACAAAACTGCAAACTAGGGAAAACACAGAGAAAAATATCTCTACTATAGAAGCAGTCACACTGAAAACATTATCTGAGGAGATTTAATACCGTGGAAAGAGACAATAACACTGGATTTATTTTATTTATCTCTACCTTGACATTGGAATCCCTGTTTGCCGATGCCCCTGAGTGAAAAAAGAACATTGATTAAGACTCAAACACAATCTTCCCTTCTCCTCTTTAAGGTGAAATATGTTGCTTCTGAGACTGTCTGCCAGCCCGGAGTATAGATTAAGCTGCCAAGACAGGGACAGAGGTAATGCAGTTGAATTTTTCCATTCTGTATTAAGACCAACAGACACGCAAGCACAAGTTGAGAACAAAGTCTTTCTCATCAAAAAAAACTAAATTTGATAAACAAGTAATTATGTTTGAAGTTTACTGTAGGTCTAGGCCACACTGCGGACCAGGTCAAGTGGTGTCAATCAATATCTCACACAAACACATACACACAAACACACACACACACTGCTCTTGTTTCCAGAACTGCGGTGTTGGCTAGTTTCAAGTGTCTCCTTAGAGCTTTAATTGAATAATTAAAGCCATTGATTGACTAAAGAGTCCACTCAGCGGCTTTCCTGCTGTGAATCCAGTTTTGATTAGCAGGCAGAAGAACAAGCTCCTCCACAATCATACTGGAGAGGCCCAGGGGTTCATAGGAAACTCACCATAATCACTGATCTAAAATCAGTTCAACATCTGCCTGAGTAACAATTATAGACGGGGTGGCAGAGGGTAATCTGATCCTTGATCAGCATTCAACAGAAGTCTCCGTCTGCAGCAGTCTGCTTTTTGACCAGCAGAGAGCATTAGAGAGCCAGGTATGGATGTGGAGAGAATCAACAGCTTAGCTTGCTGGCCATATATCACAAGGAATTCAATGCATATTAAATGTAATGATGCATTGGAAAAACCCATAAAATTAAATATAATAGTTGCTATTAAAAAAAAAACATCATAAAAATCCTATAAAACCAACCAGAATATTCAAAAACTGGAAAACGACATTTAATTAAAAGGTGCAAATAATGTTATGACAAATTAAAATCCACCTTATTAAGCAGAGAAAAACCTGGACCTTGTCTTTGTAAAAGGCCTTTCCCAGATATTTTATGTCGGAGCATATCATTAATGCTAAGTTAAATTAAGCTGTTTTAGTTTCAGGTATTATTATTGCTGCTCCACTGGCACACTGTCCTGGCTTAATGGGTTATTTTAATCCATATAAAGAGTCATTGTTCACTTTAGTGTTTGCACCACCACATGCTTTTCCTACAATGACAAGTCAAAAATGCCTGCTGTGAAAGATGCCTGTCAGCTGTCTACAGTATACAGGTCAGTCTTAAGTACACCTTACGTATGACCCTGAGAAGAGCCGGACTCCAAACACACATTAGATTAAACACCAGTGTCACTTTGTTCCATTGAGGACTATATCAATTAATTCATACTGAAAGGAGCTATCCAAGAGACAACCCATTCCATTTTAGAGACTGACTTAATAAACTAGATATTTACATTTCAAAATTAGAACTACCTTTAATTAGTCTTTAATTAATCCACCAATCTCCCCAGGGTCTTTGTCACCCAGGGTGAGAGCTGCTGCTCTGACATCCTGCGTGAAGGAGAAGTTCTCCCTTAAACTGAGCACTACGACGTGCAAGACGGTAGCCAGTTGGAGAAATGTCCTGAAAGCTACCCAGAGGCTGTTGGCATAATCACAGCCCTGCATCCAACATACACTCCCACCATATGTTCAAAAACACAAGCACACACACAAAAGCACATACACGCCACGAACACACACACACACAATATACTTGAGTACTGTGAACTGGTATTTTGTTCAGCTATTCATTTTTCTTTTCTTTTCTAATACTGCCTAGCCGCTAATTGTCAGAATATGTTATCATCTGCATTCAGCTATAAATACTTTGCTGATTAAATGTGATACAAAGAATCCCTGTCCTGTAATCATTGTGTACTTTTTATGAGAAAAGCAGAACTTTTTTCAGCCTTGTGACAATGCATTTATTCAACCATCCTATTTTCTATTTCTGTCACGATTTCTCCCATCATTACCACATGCTTTATATCGCGTAAGAAGCAAATTACTTTTTTAAACCCACAAAGGAGCACTAAATCATTCAGTTTATCTGAAAAATAGAAAATCAACACATTTGAAGATAAGCTGTTTTCACTGAACAGTGATGAGTGTAAACTCCAGCAGTTTATAACATATTTACTGATCTAGCGGTACCTTGAGCAACCACAACAACTAATTACTACTTACATATAAACACTTTAAAATGCCTACACTGCAAAACAAATATAATTGTGAATTAGTTCTGTTATTTCCCGAGTTCATTTTATTGCTTCTTAAAATTCTGCACTTTTACAGCACTTTGGAGCATTTCTGAATACAAAATATTGAAATCATTTTTAAATAACGCATTTATTTTTTCATGGATTTCACATTCAAGGTGTATCCACTGTTTTATGCATGGTAGTTCAGTTTATTCTAAACAAAGAGTACTACTCTGGAAGAGCTTTCCAAAGACTCAAATATAATGCTAATGGTGGTGGTATGGTGGTACCATGGTGGTACCATGGTGGTACCATGGTGGTACCATGGGTGTACCATGGTGGTACCATGGGTGTATAAAGAGAACCTGAAACTGGAAGCAGGCTCCTGTTCATTCCTATTAAAGCTGCTGATGAGCACATGAGGCCAAAAGGGTTCATCTTCCAGGTACAGAAAACCCTGATCTTCTGACGATCTTATGCATATTCTTAAACCCTGCACACCGGAGGCTAAGTCTTGGCTCATTTATATGACCAGAGGAAGGGAATAACTCTGGATCCCAGAACATTTGATGACCTTTAGATGAGGGCTTTACAAGTGTTCATACTCGGAAGTTGATTAAACATCAAATAAAACATCATATATACAGACTTTTATTTAGCAATGAAAGTCAATATGTCCCGTTGTCATCATGTGATAGACCTCAAAGTAGTAATTTAACAGTTTGGCCATAACAGAAATTGGCTACTAAGCCAGGCTCTCTTCCTGGATGGCTTGGACAGGACCCAATGAAAGAAGAAACTGAGATGCTTTATGGGAATGTATGGAGCTTTGTTCATATATTACAGAGTAAAAGTCAGAATATCTTATTGAGTTCTGACTATTCTTGTTGTGTTCTGTACCTTGTGATTCCCACAACTTTATTGAAGTGATACATCAAAGAGGGCCCCTTCAGGATCTGAATAATTCCTACTTTACTGCTGCCTGTGAGTGTGTTTGTACATTTTTGCATGTACTGCTACTCTGTGTGCAGGCATTCATACTGAGAAGGAAAGCTCTTTCCTAATTAAAGTTGTACTTGTGTGTGTGTGTGTGTGTGTGTGTGTGTATATATATATATATATATATATATATATATATATATATATATATATATATATATATATATATATATATGCCTGACTCCTGTGTTGTGTAGGCTGGAGTGTGGAGATGAGGTTATGTATAGGTTAAGGTCACTGTGGCTTAACAGTGTAGGATGTTTCTCCAGCATGCAGCTGGATCTGGTGGAAGAGAGAAAGTGCCAGGAAAGTCAGAGTCAGAAGGAGTAGTGGGATGCCTGAGGAGGCGGCTTATCAACTGCCAGGTCGCTCTCTGTGTAAATGTGTGTGTGAGTGTGTGTTTGTGTGAGTGTTACCAGATGAAGTCGGTGCAGTGGCTGCAGAAGGTGGGCTGTTTGAAGAAGCGGGCCGTGAACTGGTGGTCTTTCACCTCCACAATCCTCTTGTGTTTGAGCGCTCCCTTCCTCTGGAACACAGGCACTCTTGGTGGAGGGGAGAGGGGCGAGGGCAGCGGGGGGGTCGCCGATGTAGGGGAGGCCAGCGCCAACGGGGAGAGGGATGGGGAAGGGGAGACCGGGGTCGACATGATGCCTGGAGGGTACGGTGGAAAAAAAGGAGAGAAGGAGGGAGAGGGGGAGAATGCTTGATGAGTGTCAGTAAGGAAGGTTCAGAGTTGTACAGGCGAAAGACCTTGAACATTGGAGAGGGAGGAGTGGAGGAAGCAAGGACAGGGAGGAGGAGGAGCGGGAGGAAAGTGAGATGGGTCATAGAGTTGTATTAATGGCACATGGGACAGAGCAAGCAGTGAAGGAGTGACGTGAAGGAGAGAAAGATCGAGAACCGACCGGAAGTGCAGAATAAGATAGAGAGAGCTCAGGGAAAGCGTCAGGAGTGAGAGGGACGGAGGAAAGAAGAGGTGTAATGATGGAGGCATGGAGGTTAATTCACGAACGGAGACAGAACTCTCCTAAGAGACTCCGAGACGCTAAACGATTAGAGCGGCTCGCTGTGTGTCCCACATACCACCTGTCCATAACTACCTCTCCCTCTCGCTGTACCCCCTATATCTACATCCCCCTGGCAGCTATGACTACCCACCCCACCCTCTAGTCGTCATGTTAACTGTACCTCCTGTTGCCATGTCAACAACACCCCCACCACCTGCTCCAATATTAGAGCCTGAATCCCATCTCGACTTCCTGCCTGGCCTTATTAGCAATTAGTCCCATTTCTGAAATAAAGTTCGGACTAGAATAAAATGTGAATGTCTATAGGGGATATGATACGCTGGGAAAAAGTGCACAACGGCAAATATTAGCTGGAGATACTGTGGTGCAAGAGTTGCATGCTACTAAATGATAAATGAAACACCAACAGTTTTAATGAATAAATAAAAAAGCCCATAGCAAAAAACACACCCATGCCATGATGAAAGGATGGTGTTTCAGCAGAGAAGTAGAAGCCAATCAATCAAAAGGGTGAAAGAGGAGAATGGTAAAAGAATATGCAGTGCTCAAAAATGTGCAAAATGACAAGAAGACAAATATTTTCTGGAAATGTGCACATATGGTGAAGATAACAAAGACACAATACCTGGAGATTTGTGGTGGCTTTAGAGGAAAGGCAGCTTCCTTCTCTTCCTCTCTTCCTTTCTTCTCCTCACTTCAAAAGAAATGCTAAGGTGTCCCACCTGTAGCTGGTCACCTCAAAAAAAGAGAAATACAGGAAAGAAAATACCCAGAAAGCAGTACTTTGGCTACAAGAAAGAAATCAACCAGGGAAAAAAAGAAAACAGAAAAGAAAATCCTGTTACAACAAAAAGCGAAAGCAACAAGCGTTTCAGGAGATTCGAGCTCTCTAGGAACCAAAGATAGAAGAGTGAAGTGATATATATCCGTTAACCCAGAGGCAGGGTGAGGAGGAGGATGAGATAGAGAGGTGGTATTCTCTTTCCAAGATTGATTCTGTTTAACTAAGAAGAGGACAAGAGATGGAGAGAGTAAGAAAAAGACAGAGAGGGAGAGAGAGAGAGGAGAAAGAGAGATAGAAAGAGAGAGAGGAGAAAGATTGAGGGGAACAGGCAGCGATTCATTTTGAAATCTGGGTTACTTCTCTCAGGAGAGGGTAGGGAGTTAGAGGAAGGAGGACGGATGACAGAAGCTGCCATTTTGCCACCACCAATACAGTATGGACACGGGAGCGCCAACTGTCTCTCACTTCCTCTCGTGCCAGATGGGAGGGAGGAGAAGAAGAGGAGAGAGAGAGAGAGAGCGAGCGAGAGATAGAGGGAGAGTATCCAGTCTGGCAGAAAAGAGCAGAAAGCTTCAGAGGTCGAGAGTCAGAGAAATCTCTAATTAAGCACAGCTAAAACGTGAATTAATTGGTTAAAAGTCATGGAGTTTGCAGCAGATCCAGATGACTGAAGGATCAACAGGCCTGTGAAATAAACAACCCTGTTAATCTTTTCTGCAAGAGTGCGTTTAACAGTGTGTTCACCGCATCTGAAATTTGTTCTGATATCACAGCAAGTGGTGACATGATAACACTGATCCACTGTGCACTGAAACCAGGTCAGCTAAGCCTGATGGGAAGAGTAGTTTCCAAGAGAGGGGATGTTTGTCCATTGATGGTACTCACACAAACACAAACCTACACCTACAACACACACTGGACGACAACATTTTTTGACATTTTGGGAGATACACTCACTATATTTATTATTTGCAGAGAATAATTCCATACTCATGTTGGTAGCTGAAATGTGTAGCGATGGCCAGAAGTTGGTTAGCTTAGCTTATCAATCAGCTATAGGCTGGCTTGATCTGAATTGGGTAAAAAATGTCTACCATCATCTCTAAAGCTCACAGATTTACATGTTATGGTGTTATTTTTTATTCTTGTAAAATGTTAAAAGTGTAAAAACAACAATTTGCTATTTTTCAGCTCAGTTTTATGCCACACTATGTATTGGCCAGGACCAGTTGCCAAGCAACCGTCAGAGACCTAGACTACCATAAAGTGTAAATAAGTGAGATTTAGTTTTGTTTGTAGGTAGATTTTTGTATTTCTTTTTTACCTTCTAGACAGAGCCAGAGTAGCTATTTGTAGGCCATGGTAATCTTACCAGCCAGCAGCTTCATGTTTACCATACAGACTTCAAAATGACATCATCTGTTCATCTAACTCATAGAAGGCGAAAATAAGCATTTCCCAAAATGTCAAACTATCCCTTCAACTGTCAAACTCAATGGCTTCCCTTGTGGACACGCTTATTGCCCCCAAATGGTAGCTGAGCTCCCATAAAGGCACTGTGTGGACAAATGTTTATCCCCACAATGTCAGTATTACAAGGAGGCGACACGCTCACAGCCACATCATTAATCACACTGCATGTGTGCACGTGATCTATAGACAATCTCGGGAGAAGAGAGCAGCAGGCGGGAGCAGGGATGCAGGCATGCGGAGGACGAAGGGGTGGATTGGAGTGGGACGCAGAGACTGAGAGAGGGAGCGAAGGGTTGAAGGTCTAATTAATGGGAATGTAGGTTATTAGTCTCCTGATGAGGACACTGGCAGAGAATTAATTAACAATTATAATTAGCAAGATTGTTAGAGAGCAAAATGGTGTCAGCCAGCAAGATAAGAATGAGCTAGCATGCATAACAGAGTGTGTGTGTGTGTGTGTGTGTGTGTGTGTGTGTGTGTGTGTGTGTGTGTGTGTGTGTGTGTGTGTGTGTATTGGACACTGTCATTATTACTGTATGTTAAAAAAAAAACAGCTGTGTGAACATGCCCTATCTGACAATGAGATGTCATCTCAGCATAAGTGATGCGGAACAAGCAGCTGATTGGAAAGGATAAGGGGCTTTTACCATCACCAGACTTTTCTAGAACGAACATCAATGTCATCAATTTCGGACCAATACGACTGCCATCACTCTTATCTTGGTTGAGACGTGTTTTTGTTCTGTTGTCACAAATAAATGAGGTAGATCTCCTCACAGTGAGAAAGAGAAAGAGAGAGGGGGGGGGGTTCCTAGAAATAAGAGTTTGTAGACCTCGCATTCCTTAGTAATCAGTGCATTGATAAACAAAGCACATAAACAGCACACAATGCTTCCCTTCCTTGCGTTGTGATGAGTAAGCACTTGTGGCTCTAAAGTGTCTGTATCAGTGTGCATTTGCCATAAAAAGCGAGCTAGTGTGCAGAGAGCCAATGATACATTAAGGCTGTAAACTACGAAGATGTACACACACAGCAGAATGAAAACCACACAGATGCAGCCCGCAAGATTAACAGCAGAAGTAAAACCCTATAAAACAGAACGACGCTGAGATCAAATGAAATATATGGATGACAACAGGGGGAAAAAAGGAAAACAAGGATGAATCAATGAACATGGCACCACTTTAAAACTACAATCTGTCTCTTTACAATAATCACTATTAACAGTACACTGGAAGCAGTTCATTTCTGATCAGGAGCACCTTTCATATACCCCAGCCCCCGCTCTTTTCTCTCTCAGTCTACAGATGGCTATTTTATTATTTCTGACCATGGCTTAATGAAACAGAAGATTCTCCTCCGATGGAATCTTTTTTTTGGGAGCAATCAGCACTTCACCAATTACATGCATCCATTATCACCTAACGAGTGCTCACTCGCATCAAGCAGCGGCTTCAACCTGGCTTGCTGGCTTTCTCCTCCAATGAAATTAAGGTAATTTGACTTGCCTAACTGTTGTTTGTGGAATCAGGGGAGAAGTGGTAATCATATCTGTTAAATTTGTCTCTTCAAAAACCAATTGGCTCAGTTAGCTTGCACTGGTTTTCTATTGCTGTGTGCTTATATTTGCCTCTTTAATGAAGAGTGATCTGCTGTATTTTTGGAAGGGCGCAACAAACCTACACACCAGTCAGAGGAGACACTTGGCAAGTGACTAGGGCTTATCAACATGGCCTACACACTCTCAGAACTGAAGCAAACAAGCTTCTAAAACATATTTATTTTACTGCTGACCTTCCTCTCATTGCAAACAAATACTGCTAAAATGGAAAACCATACAGACAAGTGAGGGACAGTCTTGTGCACTTAATCAAATCAATCAGATAACATAATGGATTTTGGCTAGAGGATGGCTCAGGAGGGACATCCACTCATCTAGGAGCATCTAAAGCCTGAGAATCATTTCATGCACTTCAGTTTAGTGTCAGGCATTACGTTTATGCCCTATGAGTCAATAACCTACACGACACTTTCCCCGTTTTCTTTAAGTCCACCACCTGTTTTGAATGTGTTCAGCCTGCTGAATGACTATCAATTGTTATCACTAGTATTGTAATGGTTTAGACAGGGCAAACTGCACCACCTGCACCTCGAGAAATGAAGTGTGAGGTATCACTATCTTCTTTAATGTTGCTTCAATATAGTGCTTCCTCTCATCATTGCTCCAGACTGTGTTTGGTTATCAATTGTACATTGTGTGGAGGAAAATGTCTGCTGTTTGGTGTATCCCCTGGCATATTTTGTTATTAATATGATCCAGTTTTGGCCTTTTTACCAGGAAACTTTTTTTGTGGTCTTTTTTTGACAAACTGGAGTGTACACCATGGCAACATATTATCACACGAGCAAATAATTGTCTAATTACGCATCAAGCGCTAGACTAAATTAAGCCCATTATCATTCATTTGATTCGTGTTTCTGGCCCTCCCGATTCGTTTTAGTACAATATCTGTTTCTGTCTCCACTAACTCCTGAGGGAAATATCTCTTTAACAGCTAAATGCTCCAACAGTTCACCTGCTAGTTGCCAACTGTGTCTGTCTGCGGTTTAGTGCTGAGCAGGTACTGAACAATTAGTCTTTTCACAGAAAACAGCTGCCAGCTGCAACATTTGTAGAGCTTTGCAGGCCGTAAAAAACCCGAATAGCTGAAGGACACTTAAACGCTCAATAGAGCTGAGGGGATCTCAGGGTCGGCTGAAGATTCTCATCGGGTTCAAGTGACCACCTTTTATATAAAACATATTGATTAAAGCCGCTTGATAAGTTATCAATATTTCATGATTTTGTATATTTTACCCAAAATAAAACCCTTGTTTGGCAGATCCCATGTCTATCGAGGGCTAAGCCTTGAGTATGATTAGTTCAGGACCAGGCCAAGACAATAGATCATCAACTAACATGAACAAAACAGTGATGTGTGCTAAAATGTTCAGAAATACTGACAAGAACTCAAAGCCTCAGCTGTAGGATGCAAAACCTTTGTTACTGCTGCAGGCAGGAAGACAGGGCTGTGAACTGAATGTGCTCAGGGGGAAGAATGAAAGCAGGAGGGCCGGAGATTCAGGGTAAAAGGTGCACATAGATAATGAGGCGAGGGGAGAACAAGGTAAAGTCTGAGGATATATTAAACTTCATCCCAGTTTTCCAGGATGAATTCCCTTTGGGTCGGTGCCATTACACACGCACACGGACACACACTGGCAAACAAGGATGTGGTATAAATAAATGGTGTCCTAGATGTGGTGGTAATGTTTGTCCAAACATACTGGCTACATAATGTGTTTGTGCTTTCCTTTGGACTGTTGGTTAGGCACCTTGGGTTTTAGGGAATTGTTATTGGGATGTTTTCAATATTTTGTCATGTTATTGAAACAAAACGAATAAATAAAATATTCATATTGATGATGACAATAATTCTAAGATACATCCCTAGTCTACATCATGTTTTGATAATTAACTAAAATATTTGATGTATCTCTTTGCTGG